TCCCTGCGTGCCCGGTGCATTGGGACTCGAGCGAAATTGGCTACAAGTGTCACGAACTTGTCTGCAATGTGAGGCCACAATGAGAAGGCAATCACGAGTTCCCCGGGAGGGCAGGTAAGCGTACAACGGCAGTTGTCTCAAGGTGGGATAGGCCTGTGACAATATCAACTGACACTGTATGCCCGCAAATGCCTTGTTGACTGGATGCTGAAGGCGTATCGGTCTAAGTGCCCCGTAGTCCAATGTGGAGGAGGTTCAATTCGAGATCCCATCCAGCATTCAACAAAGGTGTGCATGACAGGCAGTGCAAGTTCCGTGGCAAAGTGTTTCCACACCAGAGCTGGTATGCCGTCTGGTGCCAGTGCCTTTGTACGGGGCAATGCTCTCAGGGCATCAGTCAGGGCCTGGCAATCAAACGGGGCGACTTGGATGGGGTCGGTGTTAAACCGTGGCAGGTGATCGTCTGAGTACAAGGCTGTGTAGTACTGTTCAATCTGCTGTATCTCCTGGGTGGGAGACAGTGGCATGCCATGTTGATCAAACATCTGAATGCGACGACTCCTTTGCTTAGGACAGAGCTGACGAATCTTGCGATACCATTCAAACGTCTGGCCGTGCATGGCCAGGTCGGCCCCTTCCGCCAGAATGGTTTCAAGTTTCTGTCTGCGGTTAGCGCGACTAAACTGCCTAATCTGTTTATGACATCCCAAAAAGGTCGTGACATGGCTCCAGCACATGAACAATTCCCGCAACGATTTGCCTTGGACACGAAGGGCCTCTCTACGGGCATTCCACACCCTGAAGTTTGGCTTCAAGGTCAAACATGCAATCCTGAGCGGATCGATCAGGAAGAGCAGTCATGTCATGGATCAACTGTCTTGCACAAGCCTCAAAACGAATCCAGGTGTCCAGTTGTGCATGATATGCATGTCTCATGGCAAATCTATCAATCCTATTCAGCGGAAGGTGAATCTGCTGAGGGGCATGCCATTTCGGAAGTGTCACCAGCAAGGGATGATGGTGTGGTCCACCAACTCCAAAGTTCCTTTCGAAACGGGTATTCGTGACCGGTTGCGTACGGCGAAATTGAACCTGCAGTTGTCGAATCAGGATGTAATCGATGCGTGAGGCATGGGTGCCATGAGTAAAAGTGGTCTGATAACCCCCTTTACAGTTAATGGCTATGAGGTCCTGAGTACGTAGGAGCTGCTGCAAGACATGGCTGTCCGTGTGCACATTGGGAAGTCTTCTGGGGTCTTCGGTTCCTACAAACGGTGGATCAGCACGAAGAACCGTGTTGAAATCGCCGAAAACCATCAGATAATGAGCTTTAGGTATACGGTTCAAACACGCTTGGAGAGTGTTCCACAACTTCAATCGTTTTTGAAGAAGGGGTTGAGAGCCATTGCATGTATTCCAGGCATGTTGATAAACAATGAGAAAATCATACGTACGCTTGAGAAAAACTCTCACATGCAAAAGGCGTCCTTCCATCAAAGTCGCTGTGGCAATCTGATCTGCTGGGGTTATGTTGGCACGTATCAGCAGCAAAACAGAGGCTTGCTTGCAAGCCGAATGAGTGCAATGCCAATCTGAGGTGCTCCATGTTGCAGAGAAACGCCATCCTGTCTCTTGTATGGCTATCACGTCAAGCGGTTGGGACGTAGCCCAAAGCAGCAGTTCATCGTAGACTAATGCCTTCGAGGCGTTCCAAGTCACGCAGCGCAGGCCAGGTGCAGTGGGTACTGGCGTCAACTCCTTCCGAGCATTCGGGAGCTGTCTGAAGGATTCTCTAAACCGCCATGGTACATCGGCAGGGAGAAGCCACCTTCCTCTGTATTCAGCCATGCCCTGGCGCATAGCCCTATAGCATGCACGTCGGTAAGCGCGCTTAATGCGCAAGATGCGCGGCCGGGCAGAGACTTGGCCGTAGCCACCAAATGCCCAAACCTCATGAAGCTTCGTGGAAGAGGGAGGCAAAACAACGTTGGGGCCTCCACTCCCGCTCAGAGTTGAGGAGCTCTGAGCAACCCGCACGCCGGACATGGTGACTGGCTGAAATGGTGTTGCGTCAGCTCTCATGTCCCCCGGAGTTGGGACCGGGAGATCCAGTTCGGTCGTCAATAAAATAGCAATTGCAGCAAGGAAGGGAAGTGTCCAGGGCATCATCTCAAAAACAGGACCACACGAAACATGGCACCCCGCCGCAAACACTTGAACTGGAAATGGCGCTTATATAATTTATAATACAATATAATATACTATGGTATAATACAAGATAATATAATATAATACAATATAATATACTGTGATTCTTTTATGTTGAGTGGATCAGCAACTTGAAGATGGCTACATGCTTCATCTTCAATCCTTGCGATGGCTGAGAGGTTTGGAGGGCAAGATTTGGTGGACTTCCTACTGGAATGCCAGGCTGAAGCACTGGCTGCACTTGAGAGGTTAGTGCTTTCGGATGGCTTGGCGTGGGTTGTGCTTTCTTAGATGAATGACGGAGTGGCAGTTCCGCAGCATGCTGTGTGTCGCTCCGAGAACTGTGCCAAGGACCCTGAAAGCCAGAACCATCGAGGTCACACACCCTTGCAACTGGCACGTGTCTCGGCGCCAGAACCATCGGGTCACGGTTTTCTTGGGCCGTGACCCAATGGGCACAGATCACGAATGCTCGAGAGCGGACCGAACACTTCCCTCGAGGTGCCAGCAGCATCGCCCAAGTGATCAGCCATCGGACCAGCTCGATGACCAGTTCCAATGGAACGGGCAGCCGTTCGCAGGCATCTTGGGACCGAAGCGGGGTTTCCATATGTTTCCATGCTTTCCTGCCTTTATCTTCCTATGGAAATCCAAAGGAAGCCAAGAAGATCTAGAGCCTTGGCTCCACACATGAAAAAGGGTGCCCAAATGAGCAATGAACCTTCCCAGCTAAGTACAGGTGCCTGCGCAGGTGGTTTCAGGATGTGTTAGTTTTGAAGATGAAGAACTCTCACCTGCTAACTGTGAGGCTCTCAGCCCAGATGGGTCTTTCCGAACTGGCAGCGCTCTGTGTTCCCCGATGGACCTCAGTGCGCCTGACAGCTTCACAGGCGAGACTGAAACACAAGAAAACGACACTCCTGAAATCGCCGCTGACTCCTCTGCCTGAGGCCGTCAGATCTCTCCCAACAGCATCTACAGCGGTGATTTCTATCCCATGGATCGCTCCCAGTCCCCCGATTCACCGGTGGATGAGCCGCTTGGGAGGTTTGTTCAACCGTCCGACGGTTTGGGTTCGGGATGGTGGTTCGGGTATTTTTCTTCGGAGAGAAAGAACAAAGACATCGAATCATCAGAGCGTGATCACGGAAATACCTGGACGCACCTGGAGAAATCAATGGTTTGAAGTAAAGTCGAGTGTCGTGTCAACGAGCGTGCCTACAGTCGTGCCTACGTTCAGCTGCCAATGTGCCAAGTGCAGCCTGTTTTGGCCTGCCTTGTTAAATGTCATGGAATTGGAGCGACGAGCCTGTAGAAGAACATCCACTGCAAGCCATGAGCTAGTTTGTCACTCACTGTACTTCTTTCACATGTGTGTGATACCTTGAAGACAGGTCACGTGAGGAAAAAGGCCTTGAGTGCACCGAGGACTAGAATGTCTATTTGACGCCTGCGCGGGGCTCGTCCGTGATCTCTTTGTTTTCAGAGAGTGGTCCATTTCCAAGTCAGACGTACACGTACTTAGAAGTTCGATTTGTGCCGACGAAGAATCTACTTGCATCCACTTGCAACATCTCCAAATGGGAAAGGACCTCTCATATCCAGGTGAATCTCTCACCACAACATTTTTTGAAGCCTTTCAATCCACAATTCGGGCAACCATCCTACTAGTAGGTGAAAGACCCGGGTTGTAAGTGGAAGGTCACCCGAAGGGCTGCGTGTTTTGCGCGTTTCAGCGCACGGAGGCATTTTGTGAGCATGTGACTTTTGTCTTGGCAATCTGCATCACAGAATGTGACTTCCAACGAAAACGTATGTTCTTAAATGTTATGTATATATATATAAATGTTATATATATATATAAATGTTATATATATATATATACACCAGTGGTCCAGTCTTTGGCAAACATGCTGGATGTATGGATGTATCAGTGATGCCGTGCCTCGATCATTTTTTTGCTCTGGATGACATCCTGGACTGTGGCACATGCCAAGCATGGCTGCTTTGTTTTAATCCAAGTGTCCAGGTGTCGACACGTTTCAAGTTCCACAACCATGTCTTTCCCGAACTCCAACATGGATTTGAGGGAACGCTGCTGGGAACATGCTACCAGAGCGAACAAGCTGAGGATGCCAGCCTCCCCGAAAAAGGAACATGAAGCTGGACTACATGTTGAGGTTAAAGTCAAGCCTTTACAGGCCATGTGGGTTTGCCTCGAAAGGAAGCACACCGGTTCACACCAGATTTTGGCTACTTTGGTGGAATGGCCAGTTCATGCTGTTCACGATGATCGTTTGAATCGTTTGATTCACTCGGTTCGTTGTTTCGGGGTGGCCGTTTGCTTTTGCGTTTTCAAGGGTCTTCCGTCGGGGCTTCAAGGGCTCGGGACGTGGCGTCGACTCTGAAGGCAGGTCCTGGAGGATCAGGCTTGAAGTCCGGCAGGGCCTGGACGTCAAGCAGCACTCAGTTTCTGAGAAGTCTTCATGTTGATGTTTCAACATGTGGCAACTGTCGAGGGTGCAGGACACATGTGACAGTTGTCGTGGAAACTGTGCTGAAAACGGCGAAATGCTTTGCCATTGGCTCGAACGATCCACTGTTTCTCAGCCAAGAGGGGCGTAGAGGGGCCATCAATTTCAGCCTTGTCCAACCTTTTGGGGTTCCTACTGTCGGAAGTTCGACCGGAATCTGGCCGACATGAGTTGACCAAGAGATGTCCTGCTTCGATTCCTTGAACAGCTCTTTCCGAAAGCCGATGAGCGTGGCCACACTGGTGGAAAGAAGCAGCCATGGGGAAGCTGGTGATCTCCATCGAGTTTGCGGCAGAAGAGCTGAAGTTGGAGGAGTGCCGAGCTGGGAGCTGGGATGAAGAGCTGAGTGAGTGGTTGACGTGGTTGTGTCCTGCATTTTTGGGTGAGAGGGATTACAGATTCTAGGCAGTTGTCGGAATAACCTTGAGAGCACAAGATACTATCTCGTTCTTGCTATTTCATCCAGCAACAGCAATTGGCCATGGCTGACACACTAAAGAAAAGACGCTCGGTATGTCGAAGAGAGCAGGCTGTCAAGTAAGCTACTACTCAACAACAGTGAGAGCATACCGGATGATTCCTGGGTTCCTTTGTGCCAGTTGAGATCAGCAAGGAGAAAGCTCACACGCCCAAAGGTGTGGCCTTGTGCTTCATGCACTTTCGCCCGCTCCTACTCCCACTTTCAACTGGATCCGAGAAGTTTCACTTTAGGGGACGAGGCAAAGCCATGCTGCTGGAAGTGGAGTGGCCCGAAGTGCGTCAGATGGCCAAGCGGGCTCCATTCTGGCTCCTCTTGCTGGACCAAACTTGGCAGGCGGGAGGAGTTGGTGGTTTGGAGATTCCCAACAAGACCCACTAAAAGGGACCCCGGTATGGTCAGAAGGATCAATCGGATAAACAGCTCTTGATTTAAGAGCTCTTTGATTTTGACCAAGGCTTAAGAGCGTCTCCCTTGCCTTGGCCACTGAATAAGATGGCAGGCGTGGCAGTCCATTTCGTGGCAGGTGCAGGGAATGGTGAGCCGATGAGACTGTCACTCTTGGGCGAAGTCTCGAAATGCTCGCTTTGGAGACATCTGATGCGTGACTTCTGTGGAGGAAGTGTTGCGTGTGTGGCTCAGGAGTTACACATGTACTCCAAGGGGTACCTACTGGGGGGTCCGAGCTCCATGTACCACAAGAGTCAAGAGTGCCGTAGAAGAGTGTAGTGTTTACATGTGTTTACCAGAGTGTCAAGCAAGAGTGCCGCAGTGCCAAGAAAGAGTGATCTGATAAGGGTTTCACCAGACAGCGATGTTCACACTGTTGTCCTTTCGGGCTCGTGGACTTTCGTCTTTTGCACCAGATGTTTTGGACGACGCACCGGTGCACCGGGTCACGGTGTCAGGTCATGGGCTCCACCTGTTTTGACCTGGGCGCACAGATCGCCCGGGCCGCGGCCGCCGGCGTGGCGGAGCGTGAGACGGAGATGGACAGCTTTGGGTTGCTGACGGCCCAAATGCTGTCCACCCATGGGAATCAACAGGAGTGGGACATGCTTCGTGTCTTATGTCCGTGTAGCAGCAAAATGTGATCTGTCAAAGATCGTCTATGTTTATAGTTGTTTATGTTGTAATCATTGTGGGCTTACTTGTTGGACACATGCTACTTTGAGCATTCTTGAGCTGTTTTTTTCAGCATAAGCAAATAAACCATGAAGCTTCTACAGTGTTTCCAAATGGTTAGTTCCTTTCAGTGCGTTGCTTTCAGCAGGTGGCGAGCCTAGACTGTGCATTCCGAGTGGGGTGCATCCGTGATGCGAGCTACACAAGCAACGCAAGCGTTGGGGATGTTAAGGACAAACTGCGGGAACTACCCAAAGTGGTGGAGGCGGAAGGGTGGGCGAGTTCGTCGGTGTTTGCGGCATGAAGATGTTGGGGGACAAAGGTGTCTTCCTCCCGCAGCCCTGCTCTTCAACCCGCTTCACAAGCAATCGTTCTTTTGGAGTTCTTGAGTGCCATCGGAAGAGTGGCCGTTCTGATCTCAGAGGACATGCCGTTGGACCCCTTTATCGAGGACATCACCGTGACAGCTGCGCCCGTCTCAGCGCCGACGGACGCTCCCGGTCCGCCGGATCGGGACGCAATCCTGGCCGAGCGAGGTGGGAATTCCAGGGGTGATGGGGATTTTTGTGGTCAAAGATCCCATTGTGGATTGGACAGTTGCCCCAAGTGCTATCAAACGGAAACTAGAAGGGAACAATCTCTGGGTCATGTAGAGTAAGCATGGGGTCTGACTCCATTCAGAGGATATCAGTGCTAGGGGTTTGCGCTTGCTTGAACCAGTTTTATGTGTAAAGAGAAGATTCCAGGGAACTCTAATGTGCCTGGAATTTAATACTGGTAGTTTTGTAAATGTTTCTTGAACGTTATGGTGAAACATAAGCAACTTGCAAGGAAGACCCTCTTTCTTGCAGGTCCTGCAGGTGCTGCAGGTCCTGCGCTGGGTCAGTGCACTGGCGAAAGTCTTGAGAGCATCGTTGTGGGCAAGAGAGAAACGGCCAAGACCGGCAAGACCAAGCCCGGTGAGCAAGTTGGGAAAGACTCCGGTCTGTTTAGGTCATCATTGGATCATTGTACACAATCTATCACAGGCGTTGGTCTATCCTATTAGTCTGTCTACATTGTTGTTGTTATACAAATATATATATATATATATCCGATGATTCCCGCTCTTCGGATTCTTTTGACATCTTTCGAGTGCTTTTGACTCCTGTGCCGCACTCACCTCCAGCTGAGCCGAGGACTCTCTGGACCGCTCGGATAACTTGGAGCTCCCATCAGAGCAGCTGGGCTCGTGCACCTTGAGCATCTCTGCCCTGACCTTGGTCTCTGAGATGACCCGGGAGCTCATGGGCGAGGAAAAAGATGGGAAATGCGATGCCGTGCCGCATCGGTTCGCTGCGAACCAGACAGGTCGATGTCCCCGCCTGCAAGGGCGGGGCCTGTATCTCAGTGTGGACCGTCCGTCGAAGCTTTGGACCATTCTGAGCATTTGGTGGCTGTGTGTGGTATGCGGTATACCGATTTACATTAAGGTTACACGTGTGGGAATCACGACTGAGGCGTGACATAGGTCGTTGACATGGGGAGAAAGCTCGCAGCTGTACCCGGCGACTGACTGCTTTTTGTCGGCATACCGCGTCTTCAGAACATCATACAGAGATGTACATATTGGATTCCACTGATGCACTGGTGGGAGCCTGGCCTGTCGTGTGCCAATCCCTCAAACCGCAGAATGCCAGGTTCGCAAAGACTGGGCTTGAAGAGAAGGCGGCGGGGGATGCCGTGGAGGCTTTGATGAAGACTTGGCAGACTTGGGAGCCCAAGACTCACTTGAAAGGATCTTCAAGACGCCACGCCATCCATTCCTATTTACGGGCCACTCGCTGGTGTTTGTTGGCGGACGAGGAACCTGTCTTGGGTCAATTGAACAGCCAACCATGAAAAGGTTCGATTTGCGTTCATGATGTACGACGAGGAGCAAGACGGGTAAGAGCCCCAACGGGCGAGTCGGAGTTGGGTCGGCATGGCAGTCATGTCACTGGCCATGGCACTCTGAATGTTGGTTGGTTGACGAATATTTCGGGGATCCTCCCGGTCATGTACAAGCAAGTTCGTGTACCAACCGTTGGTACCTGGCACCGAACCGTTTCGTCCCAGAAGCCCCAACCTAGGTCCGTGAGTCGGGAGGAGCTCTCGGAGATGCTGCGGGCCATGGCGCCGTACCTGCGCAGTGGGGGTGGCCCGGTCCCTCTCTGGGCGCTGCCAGACATGGCGTGGTCTCTTGCAACATTCGATGAACATCAATGAACATACATATTGCTTCAGCTTGCTGCTCTCATCTTCGGGGGTGGTCAACACCATCATTCCTCATGTGGAGGGTTGCGACTTGCGACCAATATTCTGGGCCACAAAATGCAAAGAGCTTCTTTCTTGCGGACGTTTTTAAGACTTATTTTCACCATGTTGGACCTTTTGCCATGTTTACGTTTTTTTCAACTGGAGTCTTTTTCAAAGCATTGTTGCTTTCCCGTTGTGTTGTGGGTTGTCCAGGAAGCATTGCAGCATATTGCAGCATTGCACTGCACGCTTGACATCGCTTGACGTTTGTTTTCCAATCATTTCCGACAGAACGTCTGGCTACTATCGACTCGAAAGGATCGCACCCCGTCAAAGGGCGCAGAGTGCTTTCAATTGATATTGGTTTGCGTATGGTTTCGTGATGTTTCATGTTTGTGTCAGTGCCAGGAATGAGGTAGGACCTGCGTCTGCCCATGCAAGTTGTTGAACACTTGAAACTTGACATGCATCAAACCCATCATGAGATAAAGCGAAAGCCCACCCTAACTCCACTTCCTTCCGCCCGAGAAGCGGACTGCAAACACGTGCGAAGCGCACCTGTGGAAAGCACGAGGTGCTCACCGGGACGCCCATCTGGAAAGGCGGGGATTGGCGGGACCGGTGGGACCGGTGTTTGGGCACCGGCCGAACAATGAGGTCCTTGAGGCCCAACCCACAAGAGTCCAAGAAGGATGGTTTTTGATGGTTTTTGGGGTGGTCTTGGAATGTGTTGGATACTTGCTGTTAAAATGTTTTAAACATCTTCAGAGAAGATGGAGCACCAAGCTGTTGGGTTTAGGACGCTTCCACCTCTTCACCTTCGTCCTTTCATCTGTCTTCCCACGTCCCACGTCGGACCCGATGGATCGGTGCCCGGTGAATGTCGGTGCCCACGGCCAGCTGCCCTGCAAAAAGACAAGCATCGCTTTGTAGTCTTTTTGAGTCACCACCGCTTTATGATTTTTGATCTGGTTTGATTTGGTTGGTGATCGCGAAGTGAACGCGACTGAAAGTGGACGCGAGGTCAAACACTGAGCAAAGGCTGTGTTTGTATGTGTTTGTAGGGCTTCCAATAGCTTTAAGGCAATGGAATCGACTCTTTTGCTTCCTTGTAAAAGGAGAATCGACTCCTTTGCAGCCTCTAATGTCCAAGCACCGCCCCATTCCATCCAAAGCGAACGTTGCCACTCGCCTTTCGAGTTTGGATCCGTGGGCCTCTGTCAGGGTCTATGCGCTGCACAGTCTCCACCCCAATTCACGGGTCTCCTTCGATGAGCTCATGGACCTGTGCGTCTCGGGTGGTATGGGACCGTCTGGCGTTCGGATGAGTTCGCAGACCTTGAGATACACACACACACATGTCATGGCGTATCCTATTCTTAGCGAGCGACGGTGGCAGCTTCAATCCATAAAGTTGTTTGTTGCCCGTAGCCATTTCAGGGCATTGGGTTTGTTAGAAGCTATACACAAGCATTTTGGATTCAACACTGAAGACATTCCTTGGTTCTTTGGACACACAGAAGAGTGACAGAACAGCCTGACAAAGATGGCAACGTTCCTCACGACATTTGGGCAACTGAGCTCGGGTCAAAAGCAACAGCCCTATAGATCCCTATGGGATAGGATGGCATATCATGACAATGACAGTTACCATGACAATGACAGTTACCATGACACATCATATTGGAAGCATCATGAAGCATCCATTTGGAGTCACTTGGAGGGTGGAGTGCCACCATCCATCACTGTCCATGACCTATTTCCGGTCACGGTCGGGACTAGTTCCGCACCGTCACGGAGCCTCGAAGCCATGGCGGTGCAGACGAGCCTCTTCTGAACATTCGACTTCAACCAGACGTGCCTAAGAGGCATTGGGATTTGATCCAGTTCGATCAGGTTTCAATTGGATCATGAGACACTCCTCCGGATTTTGGTAGGTCCAGAACTGGCCTCATGGAGTCCAGATAGGCTAGAGATGGCTAGAGAGATCCATGTCTCTTGGGATCTTTGTTCGGGAGGGGCACAGATAGGTGATTTCTTCTATTTCTACTGCCTGTTGCCTTACAGTTATAGAGTTGAAATACTTTTCAAGAGGACCATGGTGTTCTGCTTGGTCGATTTTCTGGCACTTCCATTGATGGGGGACCCATGGGACGACCCTCTTGGCCCACAGCCGCGTTTACCGCGCCGCGTCTACCGTTCGGGCCGTCGGCGCGAAGATGGGGGGCTGCTAGACAAGGTGCCGGTTCGGAACGCCGCGGACGTGGGCTGGAGACGCGTGTAGCGTTGCAAGCTGGCGGAGCCTCGACACCACCCAGCGAGAACGACGAGAAGTAGGGTTTACCTTGGAGAGGGGAGGGTTCCACGGGAACATAGAATCTCATGACAGAATTGCCTTCACACGAAGGTGCTTCGAGGTGGAACTTTTGCTTGAGCTTACCATAGCTTACCCTTGTTTTCCTCGGCAAAAGGCCAGAGCTAGCACCTGCTGCCTCAAGTATACAGTATACTGTAAATTGTTCGATCCAAATCTTTGGGAATGGTGTTTTTTGCGACAGTAATCAGGGTATGTCCAGACAGTTATGTAGATCGTTTTTTTTTCGACCAGTCACCGGTGTTTTTTGCTACAGTGACTAGGTTCGGTGTTTTTTGCACCAGTAGTCTGGTGTCTGGTGTTTTTTGCGACGGTTCCTCCTGGTCGCTGTTTTTT